AGGGGGTCGGTCTGTATAGTGGGGTGTTTGGCTATTATACTGGGTGTTTCTGGGTTCTGAGTCTTTTCTCTTTTCTCTGGGGGTTGGGTTTTTAGCTATTGGATCCTGCCGGGCGGCTAGTGAATCTTCAGCATTCATGTATTTCTGGGCTTTGGAGAGTAGGGCTGCCATGGAGGTCGGGGGGTTTTTGGAGAGGGAGAAGAGGAAATCGAACAATAGTAGCCCGGCCATGAAAGCCGTGAGGATGACCTTGTCATCATTTTTCGCTACTTGCAGGGCTTCGGTGTTGAAGTGGGTAACAAAACTGCACAGCGACTCCCCCTCGGTCTAACGAATGTTGAGGAGTTGGGTTGCTGGGCGGCGTTGGCGCTGGGCTCCAATGAAATGGCTAAGGAAGGAGTCGCTAAGGTGCTGGAAAGTGGAGACAGAGTCTGCTGGTAACTGGCTGAACCACAGTGGACCCCTTCAGTGTCACGGGGAAAGCCCGACACATGATCTCGTCAGGGAAGGCATGGAGGATCATGACGGTACGGTAGGTCTCCAGATAGTCGACTAGGTCCGACGTACCGTCAAAAGAATCAATGGTGGGCATCTTGAACTTGGCGGGCAGAGGTTTGTCCCGGATGGAGGCAACAAATGGCGAGTTTGCCGTGGTAGAGGGTTTATGCTGAATGTTCTGCATGACCCCTTGGAGTTGGAGCTTCATTGCTCGGAGTTCAGCGTCCCAGAGGGGAATGTGGTCACCATGGTCAGTCAATGGGGGCTGGACGCTGCTGGCTTCCCTTTTAGGGGCTGGTGCCACGACCGACGGGTGTGGGGGTGGAAGTGGTAGATTTATATGTGGGGGAGGAGGTTGCAAACCTTCCAAGTTGGGTGGATAGGGTTGCGGAATGGTATGGCTCGGGGCTCTTTCTTGGTTGGGTGGAATATCTGGAGGTGGTGGAGGAGGCATCGGAAGGTTTCTTTGGAGTAAAGCATTTATCAAGGCCTGGTTTTGCTCGGCCATGCGGTTAATACTGTTGGTAAGCTCGATAAAATACTGCGGTGGGTTGTTTGGATTGGGGGGTTCGGCCTGATGGCCGACAGCATTATTGTGAGAAGCCATGGATCTAGTCGTGACCATACACTTTGATGGGTAGGAGGAAAAGGTTGTTGGGATAAGGTCTCCGGTGACAATGAGCACAACTAGCGCGCGGAGCAAAGTCTTTCCCACAGACGGCGCCAACTAATGATATAGTTTGTTCCAGTGAATGGATCGAACTAGTCCAAGCTCCTTAAGCCCAGGTCCAAATGATCAAGCCCACCGGATAACCTGCAAACAAGTTCAACGGGGAATGGGGTAGTTCCCCAGTGAACCCTCCGACGAGCAAGTTAGGAAGAGAAGTAGAGTGTAGAGGGAAAGATTAGAGATAGAAAAGCTTAACCTTCTTCTTGTCTTCAACGTTTGCTTATATCCTTTGGTAATCATTTCGCTGTCCCTTCCGACCTGCCCTTCTCGCTGAAAATCTATGCTGTAGCTTAGCTTGTTCAGGGTAAGAGGGTCCTGTTCCGACGGAGAGGTGTTGTCGTAATAAATGCTATGATGGGCTGCATTAATGGTGATGTGCAGTGGCAATAACTTTGCAGATCTTTGTCTGCTGATGTGGTTCGTCCTTCACCTGCCATGTGTCAAATGTCATTGGCTCTTTATGCCATGTTGGACTCTAGCTGTCCTGGACCTCACCAGCTGGGTTATGTATTGGGCTCCAAGTGATGGGCCTGGATTGTTCATAGTGATTCGTGGCCTTTATGAGCTTATACTTGTTCATAGTGATTCGTGGCCTTTATGGGCTTATATACGTCATGGTAGAACTGTGATTTTGGATTTTTTGGATTATTTATTTGTGTGAATTGCTGATTTTTCAAGTAAAGTTCTTTGTCAAATGCCAAGTTTTTCTTTTGGGATTAATGCAAAATGTATAACTTTTGTCACAAGAAGTACCGGTTTTTTTTTCTTCACAAAAATATTACTTTTTTGCTTCTCGCAAAAGTATAACTTTAATTATAATAAGGGTTGTTTGAGATGAGATGATCTAAATAAATATACTTTTTAATTTTTTACGAAAAGATGTGAAAAAAAGTAGAGAGGTGATGTGACCCAAATAAATATACTTATCAAGTTTATGCCAAATAAACCTTTAGTTATAGATAACTTTTAGGTACACATTGCGATTTCACCATTCATAACTTTCCTCACACAAATCGTAACTTTCATTACAAGAATCATAACTTTTCTTACAATATGCAAGTGCACAATGTAGCATTTCCCTAAATGTTAACGTGCTTAACAAGCCTTTTTCTGAAATTTTCAAAATTCTTTATGGGATCAAGTTTTTCAAGCAAAATATCTCCCTAATATTCACCTCAATTTTCCTTGTAACGCGTCATCCTCATCGGGCTGGTGACATATACATCATTCTCTTGTTGATATGTTAGCTAGATTTGCATCAGCCTCTCTTAATTCTGAATGCATGTATTTCAAGCATCTCATTTTTGAAAAAAAAAAATTTGACAGTTCGGGGTTTACATTAATAAATAAATTAAATAAAAATTAGATAATAATTACATTAAATAAACTTGATTAATTATTTAGACTATATACAAATCAAAGTCAAAGCTCAATTTATATCTTTTATTTTTTTATTTTTTGAACAATGTACCTTGGATTTGATTGATCACAATATTCATAATAATGATTAAAGTACCAATTTTAATGATAAATTACACTGATTTATTTTAAAATTTTTAAAAAATATCCATCGAATTTTGTATATTTGACATAATTTTATTTGGAATTTGAATTCTTTCAAGTTTGTTATCTCAATTTGAGATAGCATTTGGATTGGCTGGCTCATTTTAGGGCCAATTTGGTGATTTAAAGCGTTTTACTTTATAAGACTCGTTAAGTAAAATAATATTTATGTAAAGATGATCGGATATCGATAATTACATAGTTAAATCACATTTGTATTACAAAAAAATTATAGTTATTCTTAAAATTATAATGGTCGATCATTTTTTAAAAAATAAATGTGATTGAAATATATAATTATCGATGTCTCACAAATCTTCATAAAGTTGTTGTATCTTTAGACATAACAACAACCTACTCTATAAATTTAACTTTCGTAAAAGTGAATGATGTTATTATTAGATTTATTGTATCATGACTTGTTAGACCTTTTTTTTAAAAAAAAAATTAAATATAATTCTCATATTTTTGTAAATTATTATGTTTTATTAATTTAATGTATAAATATATATAATTACTAGCATCACGGGAATGGAGAGCAACTATAGCAGTTCTGAGCTAGAGAACTCGATAACCTTGTGAAAACTAAACTCGAGCAACGTACGTAAATGAGAATAATGTATATATATATATATATATATATCTTATGAATGACAGAGAGATCATAACTATTTTTTATTTACTTTTTTTTTTGGTTACATAAAAAATATTAGAAATAAAAAAAGCACATCCAGATAGCTAGCTGGCACAGCCATCAAATTATTTAGAGCATTCACACCAAATTCTTTAATTTTTTAATTAAATTGAAGTTATTTCATTATTTTAGCTAAAGTTATTTCATTATTTTAGTTATTCACCTTTTAGTACCTACTATATCAAACTCTTTATTCTAACTTATTCTTATTAAATATTATTTTCTTATTGTGTTTGTTAGTGTTTTTTTTTATTAAATTGATAAGTTACTAGCCAAATAATTCTTAAAAAAAACAAAAAAAAAAAAAAAAAAATTTGCCATTGACCGATTGACTAGCTGGATGTCCGGCCAGACATTTGGACAGACATCCGGTAACACACAAATAGAGATGAACGATGTCTTGCTTGTTATAACGAATTACTGTACCGATTGTAAATTTTGACAAATTACATACGAGTTTGATAAATGATTTTTTAAAATTTTTAGTTAAAAAATAAAGTCCAAAGAGCTTGATGAGGATGCTCTTAGGACCATGGCCATGTTTAAATTATTGAAAGACCATGTTTGGTGCACCGTTTTTTACTCTGCTTTCCAAATTATCTTTCCACTGTTGAAAGAGACATCTCTTTAATCAACCTACTAATCCAAATATGGAGAAAAATGGGTCTAGTTTAGACAAACTCCACCTGCTACCACTCACTGGACCATCTTTGCTTGGATTCTTGCTGACTTTTTGGGTTATCAACATGTGTACTAAAAAATTTCGGCACTGCCGGACCCCACCCACCTCCACGTAGGGTCTGTGCAAGCATGACTTAGTAAAATAAATAAATAAAAAATCATTTCCACCAGTCAAAAAATAGTGAAGGCGGTGGGAGTCCCCCCACTGGGACCCAATGCATTTTCCAAAAAATTTACATATAAAATTAATCATACGCCTTTTACAAGAAATAATTTGAAAGAAAATGTTTCCTTAAAAACAAACCGTGATATAGAAAAAAGAAAATGATTTTTATTTTCATTTCTTTTCTTTTCCTGTAAATTGAAGGCAAAAGTGAATTCTCTGTCTTTCTTTCTCTCACACGTATGCAAGAAAAGTAAAAACAATAAGGTAACGTACCAAACTTTGATTCTGAAACGATCTTTGTTAGTTTTTTTTCCTTCATTTGAGGTTGAATTATTCTTTAATGTTGTGTTTGATTTGGGGATTTGTGAAGGAATTTGAAAAAGAAAAAGAAAAAGGTGTGTGAAACTATGTGAAATATAATCATATTTTATTCGCATTTCACCTACATTTTCTATTTTCCTTTCCAAATCCCTCTCCAAATTCCCCAACCAAACACAGCATAAGGAACCTAAAGCATAGGCCAACTGTTCTTCCACCTGCTCAAAAGCTCATCTTTTCTCTCCCCTTTCCCCTTTTTTTTTCCTTTTCTTTTATTTTCCAAATCTTACATACTGATAATGGCTATGCAAAACAAACACCAAATTTCCCAAAAAACAATTAAACAGAAATAATAAAATCCTCTCAGAGGCTAGCAGTAAACTATTCAACAACAAAACTGTAAACATGTTTTCAGCAACATGAGCCACATTATTAAAAGTTCAGTTCCATGCAAAACCCGGTGATACGAGCATTGTTTCAAGTGCTTAGGCATTACAAATCCAAATATAAATCATACCCACTAAACTCGATGAAACGGAAGCACTTCGGCAGAAAAAGAACTTTCCCAACAAGAGATTTGGCAACTGACTCCCTGCTTCATTCTTCAGGATCATCCGAACGAACAACTGATGAACAAACCAATAAGTAATTTTAAAAATGCACCAAATAGGCCCTAACATCCAACATATTTGCTTTTCTTGCCTTTGTTTTTCCCAGGGAACCTTAGGACTGTAGCTTATCAACTCCTTACCATGACTTTGGTTATTAACATGCTCTAGCAAAGGTCCACATATGTAAATTACATTGAATGCAAAACAGTGGAGGAACAGCCTAAGCAAGCAAATACATGTCCAAAGTCTGCTTCACAACGGCAATGACTGCCACATTTTCCAGTAGGTAATGATCAAAAAAATTAAATCTGTCCACTTTGGGTAGCATTAAACTTTACTATAGCCCACTGAAATGCTAGCATTATGACGATGATGATGATGAACCGACTGCATACTTTATTGATTTTTCTTGAAAAGATATGATACTTAATCAAGACACTTGAAAACCTCATTTGTTTGATAATGTTTGTACGGGGAATTGATGTTTTTCCACTATCAGCTCCTGGAGATCAGTTGATTGATGTTATGAGTAGTTCAGACATGATCTTTCTTTATGACCAACAAATCCTACTTCATGAGAGCAACCTATGATGATAATAACTAATAGAAGAAGCACTTAACCAATCAGACTCCACCTGGGTTGGAGTGTTTTGCCGGCATGAACCACATATGTTGGGAGTACTTTTATTTTCACAACTCTCCGAAGTAGAATTTTTCTCAGTCAGGGAGAAACAGGAAGTTTTTGCCAATATAAGCCACATATGTTGGAGTTCTTCTATTTTTACAACTCTCCAAAGGAGAATTTTTCTCATTTGGGGAGAAATAATAGGAATGAAAAAGAATTGTATGACATTATAGAAGATTAGGAGTTCCATTTATTCAGGAGAGCTTATTTCATTAGGATTTAAGTTATTATTTTATGTTTCCTTATCTTTTTTTGTTTCCTAATTAGATAGTGCTACAACATACATATATATATATATATATATAAAGTGTATTGATATTATCAAATTTTCTTGGATATTAATTAAGTGATATATTGATTGGGATGGTGTTCACCATATTTTTCCGTCTTCTCTATTCTCCTCCTTCTCTTCTTCCTGGTGCTATATCAAACATGTATCCTTAGAAGGTTGACACATGGGGGTTTGTATGATGATGTGCAAGGCACACTTCATTGCTTACATTTGTATGACACAAGGCAGGTTATGAGATATCCACAAGGGACACCCTTGTAAATTCATCAAATCAACACATTTTTTGTCTAAGGTTACCAGCTTACCATAAAGTAAGACAACTTGTTCAATTAGTGTTCACATTACTAAGGCACAAACACAGAAAATAACATGAACAAAAAAGGATGTGCAACAACCTTGAAACAGGTATACACTACAAAATGTATCGCAATGATATGGATACTAATTTTTTTTAAAAGATGATAAATATGTAAAATATGGAAATGTTAATGGAAATGCTAACACATTAAAAATGTAAATTTGAGAAGTATGAGGTGTGCAAGGAAGAAAATACATGCATTGTTGAGTGTATTAAGAACACAATTAATACAATACTCGTATACACAATTTACCATAAATCTTAAAACTGAATTACATCAAAAACCGAACACAGTTCTTAAATATACATAAAAAGTAAAAGTCAGATACAAGCATACAATTAGGGAGAGAAAATGTGATGTAATCAACAGTGCAATCAGTACTTCACAGGTTTCTATGAAGTTCAGAGTTGAATATATCACTTCTTTCTCTAGCTACGATGATTTAAAAGTCCCACTTGCAAAGTGTCACACTACCCTACCATGTCATATGATAATAATCAATGGATTAAAAAAACAATTTTTTAGATGCACTATTACCACAACACACTCATAAAAGTTTCAAAATATAACCTATTTGTAAGCTTTCTACACGCCAACACCAAACATCTTTGCGTAATTACTAATTACATAGAAACGATAAAAAGCAAATAAAACAAAGATAAAAGCGTTATCCCTGCACATATGTATTAAATTACCTCAAGAGTGTGAACAAATCAAAATGTTACCAAGGTTAATAGCTCCACTGAAAATTAATAACATGAGTTGCACATAGGAGGCTCAACCTACCAAGATGGGCAACATAAGACAAGAAGAAACCATTCCTAAATTGATAAGCCATGGTGATAAGCCTACTAAGGTCCAAATGGGCCATGGGCTTATCACGATCTCAATTAAAAAGGGCAATAAAAGTTGATGCCCTTCTTGATCAAGAATCAAAGAAGTAATACAAAAACAACCAATTGCTTATCAAGTAAAATCATTTTCACTATATATATATATATATAGACTCTACCTTTCTTTACCATAAAAAGATAGAACAATTAAAAATTCTAAGAATATCTATGCCTAAATCCTCATGCAAAATTTTCCATAAAATTATAATGCAACTAAAATCAGAACAGAATTGTAAAGTCAAACCCTTTTCCCCGAGCCTCAAACAAGATCCCAATTGTGAAATGTTTCACAGTTAACCAGGATATCTACAATGCCCAATTTGTTAAAATCATAATCTTCGTTCTCAAAATAAAAGTCCCTTCATCAAATCACTAATAGAAACCATCAAATCAAAAACCCACTTTCACATAACGTAATCAAGAAATCAAACAAACAAATAAGTAAAATGGTACAAATCAATAAAAGCCAAGAATCTGAGACTGCAATTGAAATCAGATGAACGAGGAAGAAGAAATTACTGGGTTTTTGGGGTTTGCCATCGACCCATTTGGCGACGGAGAAATGGACCTTCTCACGAGCTAGGGCTTCAGATTTGTAGGGTTCTTTGAGGCAGTTCCTCACCATGTTTGCGCATATGTTCGAGTACGTTATGTATGTCATCCCCGCCGCTCTCCAGAACGGTACGGCCGCATTCGACGCCATCTCTCCTCCTACCTCTCTCTCTCTCTCTCTCTCTCTCCCTTTCCTATTCAACACAACACTGATGCACTGCTCTGTAACCTAGGTGACCCGTAACATGATGCGCGCATATGGAAGTGCAGATTCGGGTCAGTTTTCAATCGGGTTTTAATGAAAAATGTGGGGAGGTAGCGCTAAAGGCTCCATTAATTGATATGATGGAGCAAGGATCCTCTAGAGTTTTTTTTTTTTCTTAAAGTTTTTTAGAGTGGTGCATTGTATGGTTGAGATTTAATGACAAGTCACATCAATTTTTCAACATTAAATCTCAATCACACAATACACCACTTTAGGAAACTTTAGGAAAAAAACACTCTAGAGGATCCTTAGTGTGATGTTTGATCTTAATTTTTTTTTTTAATTTTTATTTTATTAGTGTTTAATTAGAGTTTTAAAATTAGCAGAATGAATCATTGTTGGATTTTAATATGGGCTTTCAATTAACTAAAGGGGAATTTACTGATAAGTCCCATGTACCAAGTTCAAAACTCAGCTAATCCCAAAACAAAATACTTGTACCAATTAGTCTAATACATTTTTAATTGTTACCAAAAAATTCTTTTTTTTTTTTTAAATTTACAGACACTGTTCACATCTTACTACCGTAGGACTTCCGTCAAACGGTCGCCGAAGACTCGTCGGAATGTTCAATATCGCCGGAAAGTCACTGGAGTATCACCGGGAAGTTCGCCGGAGTTTCGCCAGAGTGTTAAGAGCGTTAATGGAAGTCGCCGGAATGTTCAGAACGTTCACTGGACGTTAAGAATATCACTGGAGACTCACCGGAATGTCTAGAATATTGCCGAAAAAAAAAAGAATAAATGGATAAATTATAGCAAAAAAAAAACATAGCAAAATGTGCTAAATATTGATAAACTAAAAGGAAAAAAAATGAAACGACAAAAAACAGCAACAATGGGGAAAACATATGTTATTTTTCAATTTTTGTAAGGTTCAAGCAAATAATCTCTAAATAGTGATCAAACTGAAAAGTAAGTTTTGAAACTGTAAAATGTTACAGTTTCAAAACAAAAATCTATTAAGCATTTATCCTTATTAATCAAACTGGAAAACATGTTATGAAACTGTAAAATTTTACAGTTTTATACCATGATTCATTCCAGCACCAAAAAAATTTGAAACTGCAAAATTTTACAGTTTTCACCGCTTGTAACTAAAACTCGAAAACTACTTGTTCAGAATTTGAAAATTTTCTCCATTAGAACAGAAAAACAGAAGTGTATAGCAGAGAAAAAAAAAAAAAAGAGATCGAAGGAGAAAGGCGCATGTAGAGAGAGAATTGTACTCCGGCAACTATTTTTTGTTTAGATCTAGCCAAATCTGATGTAGATCTAAGTAAATCCACTCATCTTCTTCGTCGGAAATATATCATCTTCTTCGTTGGAAATATATTATCTTCGTCGTCGGTGAGAGTGAAGTCACGAGTTGATTTCGATGGTTGGCGGTTATCAGTGAACCCCGATCAATGGAGAAAGACATGATCACCGGTCGTCGTCCATGACAAAGACGATGAGAGAAAAATGCAGAAAAAAAAACGAGAGAGGAAGGGAAGCAAAAAACAGAGAGAGAGAGAGGAAAGGACTTTTGGGTGTACTCAAAAAGTTATGGGATTAAATGGTGTTCACTTGTTCCACATGGGACTTGTGGGTAATTTCCCCTTAACTAAATGGGATTTTTATCAGTCAGTCCCAATAATTGAATATATTGCTCATTAGATCCTAAGTTTCTATCTTATGCATTAAGAAGTCCTATTATATTTTTTTATCCTGATTTTATCCCTGTTACCAGTTGGTAAAAATCTCTATTTAAATCATTCCAAACACTTTTTAAATCTTTAATTATTTATAATATTTATTACTCATTAATTTTTTCAATTTGTATTAACTTCTCTCTTGATCATTTTTTCAAAACTCTTCTTCTTTCTTATCTCTCTCTCTCTCTAGAAAATACCAGTATTGTAGCTATGACCATGGTCGTCCACCCACAACTATCATCGTCGTCCATCACTAACCACCGCAACCTCCACCAGTCACCAACCACCACCTTTTCTGACCACTACCACCACCATTGTTCACCAGCTATCTCTACCATCGCTGATATATATTTCACCATCTCTCAACCATTTGACTCGCTCGCCTAACGTTGTCATCTTCCTTCATCTTTGCCATTACCATCGCTCTTCCTCTATTCTCCATCTGCCATCATCGTCGTTCCTCTTCAATCATTGATCCACCATCTTCAACGTTGAACTTCACCAATGGCTTCAAATCTAGTTATTTTCAATGCCCACCATCTTTGACGCCAATCTGATACTTTACATGGTCGCCAATGAGATCGAGACTCTTTCAACAGTGTGTTGGTGGAAATCTACATTTGTAAAACATGTTGAACTAATCTAATGAATTGATCACTTAATTCAGTGATAAATTTATGACTGATTTGTTTAATATGTTGTGGACTGCTACTACTAGAATTTTGATATTAATACAGTGATAAATTTGTCACTGATTTTATCACCCCCCCTCTTCCTCATTTCCTTTCTCTCTTTTTATTTCTTTTAAACCAAATCTGTTGTATCGATGATAAATGTATCACTGATATATTTCTTTGAATCTAGTGTTGATTTGTGACGATGATGACGATATTTTCTTTTTTTGTAATCTTTTAACAAACAACTAGTGAGAAATTTATCAGTGAATGTGTTTATCAGTGCTAAATTTATCACTAAATATGTTTTTGAATCTTGTGTTACTTTGGGACGATGATGATGAGATTTTCTTTTTGTAATTTTTTAATAAACAGTCAGTGACAAATTTATCATTTTTGTCACTAGAGAGAGATGAATATGCAGTATGATTAATCTATCAATGATACATTTATCATTGATTTGTTAAATATCCCGTATATTGTTGCTATTTTTTTATATTTATATAGTGATAAATTTATCACTGATTTGTTATTGTAGATGTAAATATGTTGGATGGATCAATCTATCAATGATAAATTTATCACTGGAAAGAGGAAAAAGAGCAGATGGTAAAAGCGTGGTTATGTTGATATACGACACGAAGGCTAATAATTTTCTACTAAGGCCTTTCCTTTTCCTTCTCTCTCTCTCTCTCTCTCTCTCTCACACACACACACACACACACACACACACACATTCTTCTTCTTCTTCTTCTCCTCCTGGACCCTGATTCAAACCAATCCAATAAAAAAGATAAAACCAAATCAATTATATAGTATTGCAAACTCAAAACCAATGTTTGGTTAAAGCAATCAAGAACATGTTTATAAGAATTCATAACATAAATGTAAATAAAGCAATTAAAGTGCTGTTTGGTGTAGCTTATTGTAAGCTAAAAGCTGATAATCAGAAAGTAAAAACCAAAAGCACCCCTTTCCCAGCTTCTAAATAATCAACTTATTTAAGCTATTTGTGCCTAAAAAACTGTAAGTAGAAGCTGCACCAAACAGTCTGGCACAGATTCCCAAATTAAAATAAGCTATAATCACCTCCTATAATCCATACCAAATACCCCCTAAATTGCACATCAACAATACCTGTGTTTTCTCTCTTGAAGCACTACTACTCTTGACAACAATTGAAACCTTTAATAAATGATCAATTACACAAAATGTGCATTATAATCAATCACACAATTGATTGGTTGTGCCCTATACAAAATAACAATGTGCAGAGGAATCAAATGACCATTTGATTGGCCATTACCAATCGATTGGTCAATTGATTGGATGGGCTTGGCCACCACAATGTTTGAAATTGATTATTAAAGAGTATCTCCAACCCTTCACTTCTCTGATCATATTTAAACTTGATGATTAAAGAACTAAAAGTGAGCTCCAATCAAGGGGGTGAAAAACAAAGACAAAACTACCAAAACTACCATTAAAAACTTAAAATATTATTAGATCTACTATCGAATACTACAAATCTATCAGATTTTTTAGAAAAAAAAAAATTAAAATAAGTTCATCCTAAAGTTCCCCATCAATTCAACCCCGACACATGGCATTTAATACTTATCCAGTTGAATAAAATTGATGCTAAATTTTAATACACAATCATTATTTCCTCATATTTGATCTCAATTTTTTATTGTCAATAAATTACTTCCTCTGATTTCCAAATCAAATAAACATTGAAGTCTCAATACAAATTTTAAATAATAAATAAATCTAATTGACCTTATGTTCTTCGGCATCGATGTAATTCTGCACGCCAGGCACCAACCGATTGTTCGAAATCAAAATCATAAAAAATGCACAAGATGAATTTTACTTTTTAAGAGCAAACAACCAAAGTTACTATCGTGAGCAAATAACCAAAGTTACTATCACAAGTTACAAGTAGCAATGAAAAAAATATATAAAACAAAAACAAGAGAGAAAATAATTTCCTAAAACTAAAGCCAAATTGAAGGATCACACGTGCACTAATTCAATGATTTTGAATTTTACACTTTCTTTACTTTGTCTCAATTACCAAACAAACCTAAAGCACATCCACAATTAAGTTATCAAAATTTAAAATTATAAAATTACTATGCACAAAAAAAAAAAAACTAATGCCAAAATCAAGATACTATAGTCTAAAAAAGAAATATTACATTAAAAAGGCAAATATGCCATAACGATAGTATAGTTTGAAGGAGTGGACACCAAAAGAAAAAGGACAAAAACAAATAAAAAGAAAAAAGCATAGAGTGTAGCTAAAGTCTACATAACCTACTAACATTCACTCACTAAGTTTCTATAATGAATAAACCAATGGCAAATGTAAAGCAAAAGGGTTATGTGAGCATGTTGTGACTAGAACAATGTTGCATGCAGTTTTAATAGAGAGAAGGAAAAAAGAATTGGATTAAAGAGATAAAAATGGATTCCAATATATAGATAGTTACATTCAGCCCCCTTTTGTGACCAATTATAATTAGTTAAGATTGAAGTTGGGCTTGATTTTTTTAGCCTAGCATTTTATTAAATTATCACACTAATAATCCAATTTATCGACTTTGTTCATTGACTGTTCAAA